ACACACACACGTTTTGGAATTATTTGAGTCAAGCGTGCTATGTGCATGATATCATAATATTTAATTTACTTTTTAATTATTTAAAAAATAATAATACTTGCACTTGTTGGATTCCTATTTTTTCAAAATACATTTTTCTCTTTCTTCTTTTCAACCACACATTCTTCAATAAAATAATATTACAAATAACTCATTTTTTTTAACTACACATTCTCCACCAATCTATTATTCCAAAATACATTCTACAAAAAAGGGCTCGGCAATTATTTTACTTGTGGAAATTAAAAGTTAACCAATGTCAAACTTTTGAAGACAAAACCTTTTTTCAAGAGATAGAGAAGTGAAAATGACATGCAACTACAACAATAAATTAAGTTTTTACCCCAAATAAATAAGCTCATAGAATGATCTAACCAGCGTCGTTACTCATTTTATGTTAAGCATCAATGACACGTTATATGAATTTCTCAATGAATTTTAAACTTATTTCAAATGTTGAGGCCCATCGTAAATTTATGCACCAACGAATTTATATGACATGTCATCAGTACTTAAGATAAGATAAACATCAATACTCATTATATCTTTTCTGCATATTAGTATATCTTAATTTTATTGTATTCTTTTATGAGTTCATATGCATTTGCCTTTGTTTAAAAGTTGCTTTTTAGAAAAGAATAGTTCGTGACTAAAAAGATATATCTTTAAAAATTACTATCGATAAAATCTATTTTTCGAAAATTATGTGTATCATATAAAAGGGCGAGTGATTTCACGAGCATATATTGAAATATATTAATAAATTTGATGAAAAAAGCTAAGCTCTTAAATATAACAAGGACAAAATGTAGAAGGGACATCAACATCTAGTGTTGTGATATGTTCCCAATATTTTTGTAATCATTCACAATTATTTTAATTGCTTGATTTGCATATTTTAGTGTTAGAAGCAATAAAATCATAGGCAAATGCACAAAATTCTTTGCATGCGATATATGCGCAAGTCATTAATGGTTGTTTGTGGCATATATAGTGATCGCATTCTTCAATGTTAATTAAACACGTGCTTTTAATTCGTAGGAAAGTGCCTCTTTAATGATGGAAATTAAAGACCACTGAAATCCTCTTGAATTGGTTTTTTTTTTTTTTTTT